CAGGGGCTCCACACAGGCCATCTTATGCCACAGACCACATGAACTCATGTTATTAATGACCTGGGGCCTCATTTATAAAGCTTGCTTACGCACAAAACCTGGCTTGAAAGTGCTTACGCCACTTCTTACGCAAGAGTTGGGATTTATTAAAAAAAAAAACTAGTGTAGGGATGTGCGCAACTTTAAGCAAACTCCACACCTTGCTTACGCACTTTTTGGAGACAATCAGAGCAAGGTGAGAATAATTGGTTAATGGAAAGTACGCGTATAAAAAGCCATACAGTGACAGTCATGCGCAATGCAACACAAGTTTCAAGTTTTATTTGTCACATGCCTAAATGTACAGGTACAGTGGCAGTGAAATGAAAGTGACTTCTGCGATTGTGCCAAAAAAACAGAATAATAATAATGTAAAGTCTGTTCAGAGGGTGTTGTGAAGTCAGTTATGGGGTGTGTGTTATGAGGAGTTCAGGATCAGAGTGGCCTGGGGAAAGAAGCTCCTTTTCGGCCTCTCAGTCCTGGCTCTGATGGAGCGAAGCCTCTACCTGAGGGCAGCCACTCAAACAGTCTGTAGTTGGGATGGTGAGTGTAATCGGTCTTGCCCTGGACCTGCACCGATGGGTGTAGATGTCCTGGAGGCCGGGGAGTGCAGTACGGGTGATGCGTTAAGCACAACGGATGACTCGATACAGAGCATTTCTGTCCTGAGAGCTGCAGCTGCCGTACCAGGCAGTGATGCTCGCAGAAGCACAGACCCCACTGTGGCGGTGTAGAAAGTTTGCCAATTTGAATTTACAAATGTGCAAAAAAAAAAATTCCATTTACCTGCATTTGTTTTAAGATTAATATGACTAAATCTTTTTGGTTTACGAACTTTCACCACATAAGCAGCGGTGGATAACGGAGCAGGTTTTTTTGGAACACATGCATGAGTGTCACACGTGCTTGTGTTTTGATCCTCATCTGTCGTCGCCACACTCCGACGGAGCAAAGCCACTTTTCTTTGCCTCCACCTTTAGATCAGACCACTTCTTCTTGATTTCGCCAACGCTGCGCTCAGTGCCAGCCGCACTTACCGCCACAGCAACGGCGTGCCATTTGGTGGCTTTTCTTTCATTGGTGATGCCACTCGAATGGCCGCCAAATAAGGTCTCCCATCTCACCGCCACCTCATTTACAAGAACCTCCACCTTGGTCTCTGAAAAGTTTCTTTTTCTATGACTTGCTGATGCCATGATTAAGTGTGAAATGCCGTGGATCCATCAGGCTTATTTATATGCAAATCACATTCATGAGGTAATTTGCATGACCATACATGGTGAATTTTGGGTGTGGAGAGGGAGGGGCATGAATCAAATCCCTGCTGCACAACTTTCTGGCTGGTCTGTGATTTATAAAGGGAAAGTGCGTGCAGGTGTGCGTAGGCAGGGTTTTATAAATCAGAATTTTTTTTGGCCTGCGCACTTTTCAGCTTTTCGACTTAAGTACACTTTTAGTATGGATCCTACGCCAGGTTTTATAAATGAGGCCCCTGAACTCTTCCTCTATAGGACATCTGTGGAAGAGGCTGTCTCTATTTCTCCAGCTTCCTCTTTACTTTCTCCTCCACCCCATCCCAGTTTTTCTGCTCAGTTAGTCCATCACCTAAAAGCACTCCAAGATATTTTAAACAATTTCTTTGCCATGTCAGTCCTCCTGGTAGATTAGGCATACGTTTGGATTTTAAACCAACAGTTAAAGCCACACTCTTCAGCCAGTTAACTTTAGCAGAGGATATAGCACTAAAATCATGAACTTTTTTTTCTAAGATGTTTCTTTCTGATGTTTTATCATCAAAACAATATAATCTGCGGAGGCTGAGACAGCAAAACTCTTTGGACAATGTGGTAAAATTAACCCCTCAATGGACAACCGTATTTTACACAGCAAGGGTTCAATAGAGATGGCATATATAACATGCCTGAGAAAGCACCACCATGCCTTATTCTTCTGTGAATATTAAAAAGTGCACTCAGGTGATTTTTAGTACATTCTCAATGTCTTGGTACAATACCTTTATCATTGCAATAAAAGGCTTAAGGTCAAAACTCTCCAGAACCTCGGAGCCCTGCTATGCAAGACTGACTCAGAGAAATAGAACGATAGTGGAACAAGTGTGTGTGGTAGTGGATTGCAATGCTCATAAGAAAGCTAATTATGATATTAGCTTTCATCATGCACCCAGAGACATTATTGTCCGAGAGCTGAATAGCTACTATGTTACCAGCGACTTCTACACTGGCAATGTTAGGCTTCAAGCTAGTGTGAAGAGGAGAGTGCAGAGCAGCACTGTCTCTGCCCACAACTCAGAGGCGAATTGCTAATGAGCAGCACACAGAAGCAGATGGCATTTTTGGTTTGCTGCAGGTGGCAAGTTCAAATTTTGATTTCATGAATAGGAAGAGGACTCAATTAGACAGTTACCATTTTCATTTTTTTTTTTTTTTGTTAAGGTTAGTTCAAACTCTCCAAAATATTTGTGTTCACCTGCAGAAATAAAATTTCATTTTTGCTAATTGCTGAAGGAAACTTCCTTTGATCAGTACGTCCCTGCTTTTGTTGATTAACACGTCTTTATCAACAGGATATGTTCCCCAGTCCTTCAAGACTGCATTGATTAAGCCTCTCCTTAAAAAAACCTACTCTTGACTCAAGCACCCTTGCTAACTATAGACCAATATCCAACCTTCCTTTTATTTCTAAAGTCCTGGTGAAAGTTGTTGCGAATCAACTCTGTGATTTCCTTCATAACAATGGTTTATTGGAGGATTTCCAGTCTGGATTTAGAACCCATCACAGCACAGAGACTGCCCTGCTGAAGGTGACAAATGACCTACTCATGGCCTCGGACAGTGGTCTTCTCTCTGTTCTCATCCTGTTGGATCTTAGTGCTGCGTTTGACACGATCGACCACTGCATCCTGCTTCAGAGACTGGAACAATCTATAGGCATAGCAGGATCAGCTCTCTCCTGGTTTAAATCGTATGTAACGGATCGATCCCAGTTTGTCCATGTTAATAATGAATCCTCTGACACACCAAGGTCTGCTACGGAGTGCCGCAAGGGTCAGTGCTTGGACCGATCCTCTTTACCCTGTACATGCTTACGCTGGGGAAAATTATGAGGAAGTACTCGATTAATTTCCACTGTTATGCAGATGACACCCAGCCATACCTATCCATGAAGCCGGAGGAAGCAGGCCAGGTTGCCAGGTTGGAAGCCTGTCTCAAGGATATAAAATCCTGGATGACCAACAACTTTCTGATGCTCAACTCAGACAAAACTGAAGTTCTTGTCCTCGGTCCTAAACACCTTAGAGAGGCATTCTCTAGTAATTTAGCTACATTTGATGGCATCAGCCTGGCATCCAGCCCCACTGTGCGAAATCTGGGAGTTTTATTTGATCAGGATTTGTCTTTTAGCTCCCACATTCAACAAATTTCTAGGATAGCTTTTTTCCACCTGCGCAATATCTCAAAAATTAGATGCAAACTGTCTCAGAGCGATGCAGAAAAACTGGTCCATGCATTTGTTACCTCTCGAGTGGACCACTGTAATTCTCTCTTATCAGGCTGCTCCAGTAAGTCATTAAGGACTCTTCAGCTGGTCCAAAATGCAGCAGCTCGGGTACTGACTAGAACCAGAAGAAGGGAGCACATCTCTCCTGTCTTAGCCTCTCTTCACTGGCTCCCTATTAAATCTATAATTGAGTTTAAAATCCTCCTTGCGACATATAAAGCGCTGAACGGCCAGGCTCCATCATATCTCGACGAGCTTGTTATACTGTACTTTCCATCTAGACCGTTACGCTCACAGTCTGCAGGCCTGCTCGTTGTACCAAATGTCTCTAAAAGTAGTATTGGAGGATTACTGTCTATGATTGTCCACCTCAGGCCCTGAGCCCCTTCTTCCCTTCTTCTCTTGGATTCCTCTGGACTGTTACTGCAGACATGAACATCAGCCTCACTGACATTATTGACATTAATAACATAAACTACAGCTGACTACGATTAGGCCTGCTAACTGTAATCACACTCAATTAATTTAACATTGTCCATAATCACTCATATCCTAACCCTGTAAACTGAACTCTTTTTTGTTTCACCATTACATGAGCTGTTATTGTTGTTGCTGTTGTTTCTGCTTCCCCCTGTCTCTCTCTCACCCTCATTCTCTACTCTCTCTCCCTCCCCCTCCCTCTCCTTACTCATTCTCTCTTGCCTTCCCTTATCTTGTTCTCTCTCTCTCCCCCCTGTCCTCTCCCCTCTCCCCTCTTCTCTCTACATTCCTCCCCAACCCAGCAGCGGCATGGTGGCTGTCTGGCATGAGTCGGGTCCTGCCCAAGGTTTCTGCCTTTTAAAAGGAAGTTTTTCCTTGCCACTGCTACTCATGTTAGTTGAGATGGGCCAAAACCCATCTTAGGTTGGTTCTTGATCATCAAACAATGAGCGTGGTCTAGACCTACTCTTGTTCCTTGAAAAGCGTCTTGAGATGACGACTGTTGTGAATTGGTGCTATATAAATAAAATTTGATTGATGATTGATTGATTTTATCGGTAGCAGTTCATTGATATCATAAAAGCAACACACTACAGTTTTTTAATATACTTATTTACTTATATACTATATTTGGCTCCCTGTGTTTTCATTTCTGTGTGAAACAGGTCCAAATGACTCTTTGAGTGTCAAAGGTTGCCGATGGATGATCTGGTCCATAATGTCTCTCAGACGCACACCTCCATGTGCGTCTGGATCCGTAACTGACCTTCAGACAACATCTAGAGGAAGTCAAGGTGACATCTAGGGTTCCTCTGATTCGCCGCCTGGAACAACCTGGGGAGTGTCCGCTAAGACTCTGCAAATATCAACCCAAGCCCTGGTATTCTCTGCAGCGGAACACTGGGCCCCTGTCTGGTGTAAAAGTCTGCATGCAAGCAAGGTTGACGTTGAATTATAACTGGATGCCTGAAGCCTACACCAGTGTCCTTCTTGCCAGTCCTCGCGGGAATAGCCCCAGCTGGCCTCCGATGGGAGGCTGCCTTCCTGGCCAGGCCAGGAAGGCACAAAGGCATGATAGGCATATCCTGCACTACACCACAACAATAGCAGCGCCTCCAAGCAGACTCAAATCCAACCACCCCTACAACAAGGCAGCGCAAGAGATGCTCAATTCCACCTCTGAGGACATCTCCAGAGATGCTTGATTTGTAGCAGCTTGGAAGCAGGAGTGGCAGTCAGCTGGGCCTTCATGCATCCATCATTACATTCAGGACCCAGGAGGTGGCGCCATAGGAGGAGACAACCTTCCATGCTGGCAATGGTCAACACTGAACCGCTTAAGAACTGGGGTTGGTCGCTTTAAAACATCAATGAAGAAGTCTGGCCTGGTGGACAGTGCAGCTTATGAGTGCGGTGACCCTGAGTGGACTGCCGATCATACAATCAGCACCTATCCCTTGTACAGACCACCTTCAGAAGCCTAGGACCAGAGATGTTGGCATGGTTATATGACACTGAGTTGGACCTCTGACGCTACACAAAAGAAGATGTCTCTCAGTCTGTTAGCCAGAGCCTTGGAGAAGATCTTGTAGTCTGTACAGAGCAAGGAAACAGGTCATCAGTTCTTTATCTCCTTAAGTAGGGGTGTGCAATATAACGATCTTAGATTGTGAAAGAATTAAAGTGATTATGATCTGCTAAAACACTGAGATCGTAAAAAGTGTGCATTGTATCCTTCACAGTGCCATGTCTGTGCTGTATGTCTGTTTGCCCATGTGCAGCCATATCCAATTTTTTTTCTCTGCTGAATAACACCATTTGTTAGTCCGCTTCATGTCGGCTCAACTGACACACCGATGATTCAATCAGAGCAAACTGTAGGCAGTGTCTCAGTTTGTTTACTTTCCTCCCAGTTGAACCCAACTATGTGAGAGAAAGCATGGCCACTAAAGAAAGCGAAAGTGAGGAGTTGGTTCCTCAGAGAAACTGTACCTCTGTAATATGGAACTGGTTTGGGTTTTCCCGAAGTGACACAACACAGTCAGTTGTCATTTGCAAAGTTTGTAACAATAAACTTCGCACCTCGGATGGAAATACAACAAACCTTTTGTTAGGTTTAAAACCTGCTTGCATTTACCTGAAATAAAAGGAGAAAGACAATGGATATGTTTGAGTAATGGACAGAGATCTGTTTTGGCTATCTCAGTACCACACTAAGGATACTTTCTCTGTCCGCCCCTTTTATTCACAGTTGTCCCTGGTTACACAATGTTTCTAAAAAGGTGGGAGTAAATGTGCTGCAAAGTAAGCATTTAATAATGAACAATTTGTGAATAGCTGAAGGTCAAGGCGGCATCCAACGAGCTCCTTCTGATAAGGATGGATCCTTCTCAGGAGTTCCCACGATTCATTTTCGGAGAATACGTCACCCCCACACCCACACCTGCTGATAGGAGAACCACGGTCATAGAACACAGAAAAAACATTGTGTACTGTGTAGTAAAGCTATTGAAAAGAGAGAAGTTAGGAAAACTCTTATATGATAAAAATACTCTAATATAATGTATAAAAAGATGTCAAAGAGTTTATATTTGTAGTATAAACTCTTACATAAGAATATGAGGAATAATGATAACTTCTATATACATTTATGCACATTATTCTAACACCTTTTTAATCACTTGAAGAGACAGCACCTGAAACAGTATGGTGAGAGTCAAAAGGGGTGGAGACCTGCAACCACACTGCCATCCACACAAGCAAAATATACATACACTATATTGCCAAAAGTATTTGCTCACCCATCCAAATTATCGGAATCAGGTGTTCCAATCACTTCCATGGCCACAAGTGTATAAAATTAAGCACCTAGGCATGCAGACTGTTTTTTTGTCATTTCACATTTGTGAAAGAATGGGTCGCTCTCAGGAGCTCAGTGAATTCCAGCGTGGAACTGTGATAGGATGCCACCTGTGCAACAAATCTATTCATGAAATTTCCTTGCTCATAAATATTCCACAGTCAATTGTCAGCTGTATTATAAGAAAACAGTTTTTGGGAATGACAGCAACTCAGCCACAAAGTGGTAGGCCACATAAACTGACGGAGCGGGGTCACCGGATGCTGAAGCGCATCGTGTGAAGAGGTCGACAACTTTTTGCAGAGTCGATCACTACAGACCTCCAAACTTATGTGGCCTTCAGATTAGCTCAAGAACAGTGTGCGAACAGCTTCATGGAATGGGTTTCCATGGTTGAGCAGCTGCATACAAGCCATACATCACCAAGTGCGATGCAAAGTGTCGGATAGAGTGGTGTAAAGCACGCTGCCACTGGACCCAGAGGCGTGCTCTCTAGAGTGACAAATCGCGCTTCTCCATCTGGCAGTCTGATGAACGAATCTGGGTTTGGCGGTTGCCAGGAGAACGGTACTTGTCTGACTGCATTGTGCCAAGTGTAAAGTTTGGTGGAGGGGGAATTATGGTGTGGGGTTGTTTTTCAGGAGCTGGGCTTGGCCCCTTGGTTCCAGTAAAAAGACCTCTGAATGCGTCAGCATACCACGACATTTTGGACAATTCCATGCTCCCAATTTTGTGGGAACAGTTTGGAGCTGGTCCCTTCCTCTTCCAACATGACTATGCACCAGTGCACAAAGCAAGGTCCATAAAGACATGGATGGCAGAGTCTGGTGTGGATGAACTTGACTGACCTGCACAGAATCCTGACCTCAACCCGATAGAACACTTTTGGGATGAATTAGAGCGGAGAGTGAGATCCAGGCCTTTTCATCCAACATCAGTGTGTGATCTCACAAATGCGCTTCTGGAAGAAAAATCCCCTTAAACACACTCCTTAACCTTGTGGACACCCTTCCCTGAAGAGTTGAAGCTGTTCTAGCTGCAAAGGGTGGACCAATGTCATATTGAACCCAATGGATTAGGAATGGGAAGTCACTTAAGCTCATATGTGAGTCAAGGCAGGTGAGCGAATACTTTTGGCAATATAGTGTATTTGGCACAGGCTTTGATAAGGGCACTCCATTATGGAGCCAGATCAGGCTCAAAAGTATTGAAAAGTAGTGTAAGTGAAAAAATAAAAAGTGAAGTGAAAAAATAAGATTTGAACCTGAAAAAAATAAAATGGTACCTGAAAGTCTTGAATTTCGAAATTGAGCTTTGAAAAATCCCAGAATGCATGAAAAAAATCTGTTCAAATGTAACTTTGATTCTGTTTTTTAATACTTTTGAATAAATTACTTATTTCTATTTTTCACTTCAATGTATATTTCGATCTTGGAGTACTTTTTTTTTTCGATTGAATTTTATTTATTTATTTCAGATTTAGATCTTATTTTTACGGATTCGAAACTTTTTTTTCGGTTTCAGATTTTTTTTTCAGATTCAGATCTTTTTCGGATTCAACTTGAAAAGTTTCAGGTTCACTTTTGACCCTGTTTTTCCGTGGGGGCGGGCCTCGACTGAGAGGGGCGCGGTCTGCCATGAGTGACAGACCTCCCCCTCCTTCCCCACCCCATCACCCTGCGTTCAGGAAGTGGCATGAATACACATTAGCTTAGCCTACAATTAGGCTGTATTGGCTGAATGAGATCGTGTTGGTCCGTTCCACTTTAGTGGTGCAATATAAACTGTGATTCATAGAAAAGCTCTATTGATAGTAAGTACTAAAAAAAATATATCTACTCATCTCATCCAGTCGATTTTTAGTAATCAGTGTTTCGGTGTTGAACTATTTCCTTTCTGCGGTGTATAGGCTGTATTGGGACAGAGGAAAAAGTGCTTAGAAAGTGAATCTCGTTCCACTTCAGTGGGGAAACATAACCTGTGATTCATAAAACAGCTCTATTGATAGTAAGTACTAAAAAAAAATATCTACTCATGCCATCCTGTCGATTTTTAGTAATCAGTGTTTCGGGGTCGAACTATTTCCCTTCTGCGGCGTAGTGATACTTGCACACGCGCAATCGAATATGCAGAGGGGTGAAGCGATTTTTGTCACGTGGACCAATAGGAGCCGAGTCTCGTTGCCATAGTATCAGAAATACACAAACATGGCAACGACCGCATCTCGCAGCGAGACAAGCGAAGAGGAAGAAAAGAAAAGGAACAAAAGAAAACCACCTTCAAAAGTGCATAAAAAGGAGCGAAACGATGCTATATGAGTGAAGACGTTCTCGACTTTACAAGGACACGTTGGGAAACTTACAGAACTAGTATCAGAAAGTGGCTTTCTCTACAGGGTGAGACAAAGGACCTTGCAGAAACGTATAAACTTTGCGTTGATATCGACTTTGACAATGTTCCTGATGACACTGGGTTTCACATGACATGCTACCAGCGATTTATTTGCAAAAGGGGTTTGAGAAACAAGAACGTGATGCAGCCACAGGTCAGTCAAACCCTTAACGCAGCATTGCCGATGCATCCATGTCCACGGCATCTGAAACTCCGCGAAAGAAACTTCGCTCGAGGTCATAAGCTGTGGGACAGCCTGGGACAAAGGAAAAAGTGCCTAGAAAGTGAATTTCGTTCAAATACGCTGGTGCTACTTGTTCAATGCATTTTTGCATAGACAATACCATTCATTTATACCATCCGCGGCTGCATCACATTCTTAGCACTTTTTCCTCTGTCCCAATACAGCCTATACACCGCAGAAAGGAAATAGTTCGACACCGAAACACTGATTACTAAAAATCGACTGGATGACATGAGTAGATATATTTTTTTAGTACTTACTATCAATAGAGCTTTTTTATGAATCACAGTTTATATTGCACCACTAAAGTGGAACGAACCAACACGATCTCATTCAGCCAATACAGCCTAATTGTAGGCTAAGCTAATGTGTATTCATGCCACTTCCTGAACGCAGGGTGATGGGGTTGGGAAGGAGGGGGAGGTCTGTCACTCATGGCAGACCGCGCCCCTCTCAGTCGAGGCCCGCCCCCACGGAAAAACGGGGTCAAAAGTGAACCTGAAACTTTTCAAGTTGAATCCGAAAAAAGAAGATCTGAATCTGAAAAAAAAAAAATCTGAAACCGAAAAAAAAGTTTCGAATCCGTAAAAATAAGATCTGAATCTGAAATAAATAAATAAAATTCAATCGAAAAAAAAAAGTACTCCAAGATCGAAATATACATTGAAGTGAAAAATAGAAATAAGTAATTTATTCAAAAGTATTAAAAAACAGAATCAAAGTTACATTTGAACAGATTTTTTTCATGCATTCTGGGATTTTTCAAAGTCCAATTTCGAAATTCAAGACTTTCAGGTACCATTTTATTTTTTTCAGGTTCAAATCTTATTTTTTCACTTCACTTTTTATTTTTTCACTTACACTACTTTTCAATACTTTTGAGCCTGATCTGGCTCCATACTCCATGTGATAAAATAAGTAAGCACTGGAACCAAAGCAGTACTGTTTTATCTTGCAAAGGATATGATCCCAATCCAAATCGTGGAAGA